AAAACTTTAATTTTCTTCTATCTTTTTTTTTGTCTTCCTTATCTCGCGTTTAATTTTCTAATTGATTTATACGAAAACATTATTTTTTAATTGAATGGAAACCATATTAAAAATTTTATTAACAATATAAATTTTGTAATATTTTATTTTCAATTACATAGTACATTTATTTATCTAAAAGCAATTGTAATATACTTGTAGAAAAGAAGAAAAAATTAAATTAAATTTAATTGAAATAAAAATTAAAATAGGAAAACAAAAAAAATTGTATAATGTAAGTAGAGAATTCATTTTTTTTTTTCTTTTGCTCCAAATTTTATATGATCTCAACATGATGTCTGCAATAAAATTTAGGTCATGACACCATCACCTGTTTTATATTCACATTTTAACGATTGATTTGTTTTAGATTAAATAATAATAAATTATTTTCGTTTGCACTCATATATATAGTTTTCGTATAAGTTTATTATATTCTTTACTTATAAGATATTTTTAATTTTTCATATTCACAATATAAATTCTATTTTGTGTGCAATATTCATATATACAGGGTGTTTTGGCATGAGGTTGCAAATAATTTCATGGGTGATTAATTTGCAAGAAAAAACTGTATTAGTGTTAAGAGTGCAAATATAGTCGAGCAATAGCCTGTTGAAAAAAATCGGCGTCAAATTTTTCCTTCTCTTAAAATAAATGCTAATAACTTCGGAGTCGTGCGACGTAAATAACCATTAGACGCTCGTTTCAAAGATAATTAATATATCATTATTTTTGTTCATAAAGTCAACAATATCTGACCTTCCTCCCAAGCAATATATTTTACTGGAAATTTATCAAGGAATTATCCCCAAAATATTTGCAACCCTATGCGAAACACCCTCTATATGTATGTAGAACGATATAGAACATATACATAGTATAAGCATGCTACCTGGTGAATTTATTCTTTAGGAATATATTTTTCAATATTAATATATGTTAGCATGTGTACAACATGTATGTGTAGGTTTACATAAAAATATTGTAATCATAAACACAGAAATTTAATTTTTTTTAATATTCGATATAAAAGAAAAACACAAAATTTTATATAAATAAATAAAAATTACATTAAATTTATATTTTATTTATGTATTTAATCTATATGCGGGATTTATAAGAGTATGAAAAAGAAAAAGAACTTATAAATAAAAAATATGAAGCAGAAATTTTGAGTTTTTATTTTAGCCCAAAAATCAATTTTTCAAATCACATTTTTAAGATAGTTTTGTCAATTAGTCTGTCTTTCTGGAATTTGATTTATCTTTCTACCTATTACCATAATGATTTCGAATACTTTCGTAAATAGCAAACTACTCAATGTGATCAAAATACAAAAAACAAAAACTATAAATTTTTAGACATAAGTGTTTAAAAGAATGCACGAAAAGAAGCAGCTTACAAGTTTTTATTTTTAAATTTTTGCCATTTTAATCCCGCAAAAGGGCCAATATCGGAAACAAAATTTTTTGTAACATGTTTTCGAAAAGTTATAATGTAAAAATATAGTTGATATTTCGGCAAAATTTTCAATTGATTCCTTAAACTTTTAATCATTTACTATTTCTGGTAAATGTTTCTTTCAAACGCAAAATTAGAAAAATCTATACCATTGCATTTGCGTTTTTTGTCTTAATACTAAATAACTTTTGTTCAAGAAGTTTTTACTTTCAAAATATATCTACAAATTTCTAATTTAAAAACTTTTTACATTTACTTAATAGTACACTTACTTATTAAATTTTATGTATAAATTTATGCGAAAATGTTTTTATTTCGTTAGTACAAAACGTACATTATGGCATAAACTTTTAATTGATGCTAAAAATCACTCACCTGATTTCTATATTATAGATCAAAGATTTCGTATTTAACTACATATATAAAATTTCTATAAATTTTATTTCATTTAACAAAAAATTTAGGACACATATGGGGTTTTTGTACTCTAATTTCTAAGATAAAACAAAATAAATCAAAGAAAAAAAAAATTTTTATTTACAAAACATTATGTACGATTTCATTACATGTATATGGGGTTGTATATATATGTATGTGTCTATTTTTATATAAATAAATAAATACATATACAATATTTTTATATGCATAATATAATTAAAAATTTTAAAAATTATAGCATTAAATTTTTTAAAATTTTTTGTAAATATAAAAATTCAATTTTTATCGCCTCCGTATATTTCCCTTATGATATATTTTTCGTGAAATGAACTACATAATACATAACATATGAGTTCAATAATCGATTTGATAAAAGAAAATTTTTAATTTTTAAAATACGTTTATGATATTTTATTCGATAGGATGGATTTTTTGTTGATCGGTTATTTCCGTATTTTATAAATTTTACGCGATACTTCATTTAAATTCGACGCGTACTTCATTTAATCATCAATGTCAAATTAATTCAATGCGATTATACAATTCAACAATAAGAGACTGATTCCGGATCAATCATTCCAAATTATTTATACTTAACAAATATTAATTAAGAATGCGATTTATGTAATTTACCGCCGAAATCCATGCGATTTATCGCCTCTAATTTATTTCCATTTAAAGTGTGAGTATTAAATCACATATTTATATCGATCAATTGCATCTTTGCCAAAATTATTGATTGAAAAAGAGCCGTAAATTAGATCCTTTAAATAAATAGCTTAAAAAGTAGTCTTGACATTATCAGCATTTACGCCAAATTTTGTTTCAAATACAAATGACAACAACTGATTTAATTGAAAAAAATTCAGTAATAGATTCATAATTGATTCTTCTCTGTTTCTGTTTTCCTAAATGAGTTATTAAACAGCTTGCAAAATCATCGAATATTCATACTCTTACATACATAAATAGTTTGGATTTAATATCATACTAAAATCTACAATTCACTATATCTTTTAGCCGGCTATGGTGACTGACTTAATTTTATTGATATACAAGAGTGCTTTAACAATTAGAATAAAAATAAATTAGTATACTCGTATATTACGTAGTAAATAATGAAATACTTACTTATTTTTATATTTATTTAATACTGATTAAATAAATATAAAAATATATATTTTCTGTTACTGTTCTTAACCTTTTCAAGAGCACATTGTTTACAGTATATACATATGTATGTATAAGTATTCGAAATTTCCCCATTCATAATATTTACTTAGAGTTGTTGTGAACAACAAAAACCAAAATGAAAATTTCTTTATAATTCTCTTTCAATTTCAATTTTCGTACATTTATATTTTATACTTTATAGTATCAATTTTATTTTTTAATTTTCAAAAAAAAATTTTGACCGAAAGGAAATCATCTTGAGAAGCTCATTTCATTATTATTATTATTATTATTTAAAATGAATCATTCGAAGAAAAGAAAACAAAATCAGGGCACATTCAGTTCATTTTTTTTTTTTTGAAAATAAAATTTATAATTTCTTAATTAGATACTCATACTCATGCTTATACCATTGAAAATTTAGACAATTTCTTAATCACAAAAAAATATAATAAATAAAGTATTCTATAAATATTTTTTAAACGTCACAGAGAAAATGATTCAAATTTTTCCAGAGAGTATGGTAAAATGGCGATTGAAATTAATTTTTATAAAAAATTTGTATGAAATCACAATTGAATTATTATTTACGATCATACAAAAATGTTCGATTATAAAATATAATCACAAAACTATCAAACAAAATACAATTCTCCTAAAAATAGGCAAAAATTATTTTACAATAGCATTTTAAATATTTTTTTAATGAATTGCATAAAGCCATACAAAATGCAATTTGCATTAACATTTAAATTTTTTTTTTTACAATTATTATTTTAATTTTACAGACTAACCGAGGTTCTCGCTTTTTCATTTCACTTTTTATTCACTTTCAAAGCAGAATTATGCTTTTTTTTTAATGAATATTTCATTTTTCTAATTGGATTTTTACTTTTTTTCGATTATCGACTGAATTCCTATATCAATTTCAAAAATAGAGTAAACAAATAATGTTTAAATTTTTGTATACATTTTATAAAAAAAAACGAGATACGCAATGCCGAAGAATTCTTCTCACTCGAAAATTACATAATACAAATGTATGATAGTTACTCACTTCCTTCTTACTTACCAAGTAAAATAGCGAGAAAGACAATGAGGATTTAAATTTAGTTTGCATTTTAGAAAAAAATCGATCCGTAATACGAAAAAGTTCTTCTCAATTAGCGAATAAAATAGCAAGTTACGCAATTCCGTCCAAAGTAATGTGCTAGTAATCGTTAATTATGTATGAGAGAATCTTCCTATTGCTATTTAAGTAGTAGTAGAGAGTGAACTATTGAAGCTTGTCGTACAGTAACTTCATATTCTATATTATGTATATAGTAATAATTGCAATCGAATCAAATTTTAGAAACTGTGATGATTGTGAAATAGAAACTATGTGAAATGTGAATAATTAAACATTAAAAGAATAAAACCACTTTGAATGGGAATTTTGGAGAAAAAAATTTTGTTTAATAATTAATAATTAATAAATATTTTGCAAAGTTGAAAATCTCCAGTTACGCTGACGATTTGTTAGAAAAGGAATTGCAATGCACCGAAATCTTTTTTTCACAGTTTAAGAAATCTTTTAAGAGGAAGAAGATATTAGAAGATAGTTAGTATCTTCTTCTTCTACATAATTTTAACAATTTATTTGTATATTTAAAAATAGCATTGCAAAAATATTTAGTTTTTAATTTTTTAAAAAGTTCTGGTATTTTTCTTAGTATAACACTGAGTTTGAAATAATTCTCACGTTTTTATATTTCTATGATCATTTTAACTTTTAATTTTGTCCTAAGATACTCTCTTTTCTACATTTAAACTAAAATATTTTAACTTGGTCTTAAGTATGTTCTTAATTGTTCTCAAATAAGGAAAAAATAAAACAAAAATCATAATTTTATTTTCAATAAATCTTTTTCCGTTTTTTAGTCATTTTTATTTTGATCACATAATATTTTCATAATTTCTTTCTGCTTATATAAAATACAATAATATAATACTATTATTATATAATATTCGGGAATTTTGCTATTTTTTCTAGATTATAATTTTAAAATTTTCCATTCATCGTTATGAATTAAGAATGTTTTTTGGCAACTTCTCCAACTTTTTTAGCAGCATCAAGTGTTGAATCATAAATTGTTTTGAATAATTTTTCTGTGTCTTGTGTTATTTCTTTACCTTCAACTTGAAGTTTTTGTCCTAATTTTTGAGTTTCTTTAGCGAGCTTTTGTAAACTAGTTTGGAATTGTTCCTATATTATAAAATTAAATATATTTTTTTTAAAAAATTGCCAAAAATTAGCAAAAAAAAATTATTTTAAACTTACGTTAACTGCTTTAGCATCATTTCCAATATCAACATTACTTGTTAAATTGTTGATTTGATCCTTAATTGAAGAAATGATTTCCTGATTTTGTTCACTATTAACCTAAATTAATTAAAATTAAATTTAAATTGAAATAATTATTTTTTTTTTTTTAATAAATTAATTTCATTTACAATTTTATATATAGAATTCTATTTCTATATACTTACATGTTTTTGTAATTCTTCAAATTGTTGTTGAACAGTTGTGGCAAGTTTTTGTGTTTCACTTTTAATTTTAGCAACAACTTGATCATTATTTTCAAAACCGAAGAATTTTAAAAATTCATCATTAGCCTCTTTTAGACCAGTTTGAGCTTTTTCAGCTAATTCAGCAAATGTTAATGTATTTGTAGCTGGAGCATCACGTCTAACAACATTGCATGCAGCTAACTATATTATAACACATTTATTGTGAAATTTAATAAAAAAAAAAAAACGCAATTTAATTATATAATTCAATTATAATTTTTATATAATCTAAAAATTTATTTATACCTGAAGGCATAATAAAGCACTAATAACAATTAATAATTTAGCCATTTTTATGTTATCCTTTATTTAATTAAATTTTCTAAAGAAAATTATTATTTTTTTTCCAAACTGATCAGTGTAAGATCACTTCAAAAACTGAATCTTATATTCAAAATTAACTTGGTTTTAAAAGGCTAGAAATTTTTAATATATACAAACATAAATATCTACCCCATATTATATATGCATGTAGTTTTATATACTGATATAATATAGGTACATCATTTTGTAATTGATAATTTGAACCAGTAACAGAAAATAAAAAAAGAAAGCAAAAAAAAAAAAATTATCAATTCATAGAACATAGTTGAAATTTTAAGGTCAAGAGTGCACCCTGCAATCTTTTATTTATGAAAAGAAAATTATAAAAAAATAATAAAGATCTATGTTTGTCTAAAATACGCGAGTATATTGTAATACATGCTCGCACATACATACATACACAAATAAGTCAACAGAAAAAAAAATAATTTAATTTGTTTTTTTTTTTTTCATTTCTCTTTTCTTATTTTTGTTTTTGTTTTTTTTTTGCTCAAATAATCTCATATTTATTTGAGTCTGATATTAGAGATTTGATTTTTTTTTCCTTGTTGGAATGGGTAATTTTAGCATCTATAATTTTAGGATTCCAAGAATTTTTTAATCTTCGATATAACCAAAATAAATACATACTGTAATTATATATACAAGTATTTTAAATTTTATTGGTGGGAAAAATTTTCTAATACCTTCTAAAAAAAAGTTAATGAAAAAAACAAGAAATCATAAATTGTGAGAAAGTCCTACTTTTCTTAACTTATCTTTTTAAAGTCACGTCTAGACCAGTACCAGTTCATCGGTTTAAGGTCATTTAACTAGACGTTTGGTTGCCTAATGAGACGTTTTTTTTTTTTTTGTTTGAATAATTTCTAAATTTCCAAGAATGAAAGTTCAAATTAATCTCAACTCATGTGCTCAAATACTCATTTATTACATAGTAAATGATCACAATCGCACTGAGTAACAATATTAGTCAGTGTTCGCATATTAACCAAATATTCAAAATGTCTAACGAAATTAATTCGGTTATTTGTTTCCGAAAATGGAAAGAAATTTTGAAAATGCTAAAGTGCTTATAATGTTGTAAATGTCAAAAATAATATATAAAATTTGAAAATTGAATAAAAGAAATATTTTCATTGTAATAGACAACGGAAAAAAAAATTGAGATTGCCCAAATATTTCGAATAATTACAATTTAATGTATTTTAAATAACTAGGTGAATATACACAATAACACAAAAAATAATCTCTTAATAAAGGTATAATCAAAAATGATCAAAGTGTTTTTAATGAATATTAAAAATCTTAGTATTTCTTTTTTAATAAAAATTATTCTTTAAAACTTTTAACTAATTTTTAATTCAAAACAAGCACATTTTGTTTTCTTTATTAAAATTGTATAATAGGAAAATTTTTGTATTACACTTACATGCATATTTATTTATTATATGTAAAATAATTAATGCTTTACAGACTAAAATTAAAAAAAAAAATTTCATTTTAATATGCTGTAAATGTTTAATTTATTTTTCTATAAAAGGATCACAACACAATTTCATTCTCAATTATTTATGTACAATATTTCGTAAGTTTTTAAAACTATTTTAGCATATTGTCAAAATTATTTGCATATTATAATTATATAATTGTATATACATTTTATTTTTGAAAATAATTTGATATTTTGTTAAGTATAATTTGAATTTGTATTTGCATTAATCGTAATTTTATTTAATTAATATGTATATAGCAAATAAATAAAAAATATGAAATACTTTTGAAATTTGAGTGTTAAGATTTAAGAAACTTGTAAAGAATATAAAATTATATCTAGAATATTTTATGTACAGGATGCCGTAAAAAATTCCCCTACTTTTGGAAATACTAATTTTTCTCGTTATAATTCTGTTTTTTTTTTTTCAATTTGGTTTCATTATTTGCGTTCATCGTGCAATTTAATCCCAAGTAGTATCTGCTAACTATGTCTTGTTTTTTTGTTAGTCCAGAAATGAATCGCAACAATAAGCGCATTGCTATTATAAAATTTTGCAAGTCAGGTTTGAAGTTAGTTGAGATCGTAAGGACGACTGATTACAAAAAAATTTATGTCTATGATGAATGTCTAACCGCATATATTACTAAAAATGGAGCTAATTTTGAGCATTTGTTTTAAATTTTTTTACTAAATATTGTTATTAGTACTCTAAAAAACCGTCTCTGACCAGTTAAAAATGTTGATTTCTTAATTCATGCAAGAACTTTTCAGACACCCTGTATACATATGATATATTAAAATAAAAAGATGTTATAATTATTTTACATAATTTCCATACTATATGAAATTTCTGTGCCCAAAAGAAAATGAAAAATTTAATTTTATAATTTAACAATAAATAAAATTTAATTGAGTATACATATACCTACTCATGTTTGTATATAAGTATATTCAATATCTATATGCATATTGAAGTGCGGCCCATATCTGTTATTTTAATTGTATGTTCATATTAGTAATTATAAATAAGTTTTAAATAGAAAATAACACATTCTGAAATTATTTCTTGAATATCTTCATTCAAATTATGTATATAGTTTCTTTAATTATAATATGACAATAAATTAGTATCGTGTGCTAGATGAACGTTCAGGAACGGGCTTAATATGCTATTGTACGAATGCAAGATCCCAAATATACGAGTATGAATTTTTCAGTTATGTTTGTTCAGTTATTTTCTATTCCATGAAAGGTCGATTAAATATATCTAAATCCAGCTTTTCAAAAACCCTTTCTATTGAATTGTATATAAGATTTATATTATATGCACCCATTTAAATCTCATATACGAAAGGAAAAAATTTCGAATTTTTATAACTTTGCTTTTGATTTTGCTGGACGCAATAAATTCGAAATATTCCCAAAAATTTAAGAAAAACAAGTAAAACAAAAAAATTATTTTTTTCTTAAAGTTGATATTTTAATTTGATGTTTTCATATATGTACATATATTATATACAAGTTATTTTTAATGATTGATAATGTAATGATGATAAAATATATTTACATATGTTATGATGGTTGTAATGTGAACTAAAATTAACATTTGTTAGTGTATCATTGTAATAATAATAAACATATGGTAGAGTAAATTTGCATAGAGTTTAATAACCCCTATAATAAGAAGTGATAGAATAAACAAAGTATTCATTACACAGAAAAAAATTAATTTTTATATTATTATTTAAATTAATAAGCAAGTAAATATTTTATTAAAATGTTAAAGTTAAGAATTGAGTTTAAATTTAAATATTTGTTCAATAAAAAACAGATTAGAAATATTTTTATAAAATGATAAAATGCTTTAGAATTCAAGCTACCAAATGGGGTTAAACTATTGTAAAAATTAAAATAAGAGAACAAAAAATTGTTATTTTAAAAATTAATCATTAACTTTTAATCAAAATAACAATCGAATTAATTTGTATTTAATCACAGTTTAATTTAGAATTTTTCGAAAAATAATTGCATTAAATTGAATAATATAATGATGATTATGATTTTTGCGTATACTAATTAAACCTGCATCCTATATATGTACATGCATCCATATATTTACGAGTACATACGATACATGCAAACGTAAATCAAGAAAATTCTAGTCAAAAACAAAATTATTATTTTGCTATAATGCAATTTTTTTCTTGTTTTTGTTTATTAATCAGCAAAATTCTCTGTTTTGACGACAACTTAATTAACAAATAATACTTTTAATCATGACATTTATTACATTTTTTTTTTACTACTATATAATATAGAAATTCAAACTTAGTTGCGTGGGTAATGTTTATTTTGTAATAAACAAGATGTTAAAATGTAGTTGAACTACTTACGTATTACAATATTTTCGTAATCGAAATCTTCGGATCGAAATCTTTAATATAATCGAAATTCCAATAATCGAAAAACTTTTCAGTGCATACAATATAATGACAGTTTATTATAATTTATAATGACAGTTTGGTGACATTTAACATTACGTCATAGATAAAATAATTTTCATTAAGCCTATTGATTTCTGAATTATTAATATTTGTATGCAAAAAATTTCAATAATTACAATTAAAGTCCAAATCATATAAAGTATTGTTTAGCTGGTCCTAATTAATTAGCGTCAAATTATTCTAAAATTCTGCTAAATTCATTGTTTTTTTCGTTTTTCTTTAATATTAGGATTTTCATCTGTTTTTTAATTCAGTTTATTATTATTCAATAATTTAAATTTTCAAATAATATTGAATTTTAGAGGTCTTGTCATTTTGCAATAGTTTTTTCCATCTTTTTTTAACAGTACAAAATGGAACCATTTTTTTGATATTTTATTCAATTTTGAAATTTCATCAGAAACATTAGAATGACAACATTAGAATTATAACTTGTAAGACGCCTTAACTGTTATATTACTTTTGTTATACAAGTACTAAAATATTTAAAAAGGAAATACCGTATAGGTACTTAAAAATTGTTATTAATTTTTTATTTTTAATTCTTATAAAATTATCAAACTAATCAACATAACGTATTTCATTCATATCATCGTAAATACGAACTGAATGGATAATCGAATAAATATTTAAAGTGTTAATTTCCACTTTAAAGATAAAATTCTTTAATTCTACTATATTATACGAGTACTTACGTAATATGAATTTTTTTGTAGTCTTAAATTATTTAAAATTTAAAAAGGCTTCTATTTTAAATGTACTCAGATAGCACTGAAATAGGAAATTTTTGTTTAATTTTTGGCAATTTTTTATTGCATACTAATTAAGTAGATGCTCTAAATTCGAACTAATGCAAATCTAATCATTTTAAAATTATTAAATACTTTGTAAATTAAACCGAATTTATTTTCATGCATTTTTAAAGTTTAGAACTTTAAAATTACTAATTAAAAATAATTTTAATGTGAAATTTTCTATTTAATATAAAAAGAAATGTAATCTTCAAAAATATCAACATGTGAAATATTTTAGGTAATTAATTGGTTAACATGATGTGTATATGATG